GGAGACTGGTCCGTGCTACCTCAGAAACCAAGGAGGAGAAATGGCACGTGTGCCCTTAGCACACAGGAAGCCTGGGTGACAAGTTCTCCCAGCAGATTTGCTAAACTAACAAGTTTCATGGCTTCAGCTTGTGAGAAAGAGAAACAAAAACTAGAAAGAAACCAGAAAGGAGTCAGCTGGCCACACATCATCCTGGGCCACAGGGTGCCACCACCATGGACGAAACCCGCTGCAGGCCAGGACTCTGCCGCCCTCCCGTGGGAACCCACCGTCGCCCTGTACCCAGAGCTCTTCTGCTCTCTGTGCCTGCACAGCTTTCAGTGGAAATGGTTTGGGTTTAAAGGGATGGACAGGCCAGCGGGCCTGGGACTTCTGCAAAAGTTATCTGCCTGCGGCTCCTGAAACTCCTCTTCCTCATGCTGTGAGCCACTCGGCTCCTGTCACTGCAGTAAAACACCTGACATCAAGAGTCAACTGTTAGAAAGAAGAGGCTTACTCTGGATCAGAGTCTTAAAGCTCGTCCACCATGGTCAAATGTCCCTGCTGCTGCGGGCCCGTGGCACCCATTATGGTAAAGGCGTGTGTGGAAATCTGCTTGCTCACACGTCTTCCTGGAGCTCCACCACCTCCCAGCGCATAGCCTGGGGGAGCCATCAGCCCACGGCCTTATGGCACAGGCAGAATCCAGGGCCGTCAGCGTCAGCGAAGAGCCAGCCTTTGGCCCCTTGCCTTGCTGTGGCTGCTCCCGGCAGCACCCAGCTATCCCTGTGACTGACATTTCAGGTGTTGCAAATGTGTGTTTCTTGAGTGATTCAGTTAAAAGTAAATGAAGCCTACTTCACGCCTCATTGCAAATGCGGTCGGTTGTGTCACTTTGCTTGGGCCCCTGCAGAATACCCCGCAGTCATTAGCACTACTTGACTTCTTTAACTTGTCAAATGATCAGAACAACTGTTGACAAACAGAGCATGAGCCAGATAAAGAGCCTTCCTACAGACTCCATACCTCCCGCCCACGGATCTTGCCTGGAAGCTGCTTTGAGCATGAGCTGTGGTTCTGATGTCACTCAGGCTGGTTAGGAAGAGCTCTGAGCTAGCACAGCAGGGACAGCCTCAGGGTTCCAGGCCCCCTAAGTTCGCCACTTCTCTCCCTTTGTTCTATTTGGCACCCCCCCCCCCCCGCTGTTGTTGAATGCACTGCGGGAGCCAAGAGAGCAGGAGAGGGCTCCTGGCTCCCCTAATGTCTGTGTTGTTCTCCTGGGACTCCCGTATTTCAGAGGGCACAGAGGGTTCTGCTGTCCGATGGTAGCCTCCTGCAGCTCCTGGTTCTCCTAACTTCTAACTTCTCGTGGGACACCCGTAATTCAGTGTCCTGCTAAACTGACATGCGTAGCTCCTCGCTCACTTGGCTTCTCTTAGGAAATAGTCCAAATAGCTGTGCAGAGGCCTGGCCACGGCCTGTGTGCCTGATTGGTGTGTCAGAACAGAACACTTAGGAGAGCTGTGTGTGGAGCCACAGGAGCAGCCCTGCCCCTTCTGCCCCCTGGTCCCCTGGTCCCCTGCCCCTTCCCCCTGTTCCCTGCCCCTTCTGCCCCCTGTTCCCTACTCCCTACCCCTTCCCCCTGTTCCCTATCCCCTATTCCCTGCCCCTACCCCCTATTCCCTCCATCTCCCTGTTCCTTGCCCTTTCCCCATGTTTCCTGTCCTCTCCCCCTTCTGCCTCCTGCCCCATGTTCCCTGCTCCCTGTTCCCTGCCTCTTCCCCCTGTTCCCTCTTCCACTGCCCCCTGGCCTCATCCCCCTGGCTTATGACTCCTGACCCTTGCTCTCTGACCTCTGCTGCTGGCCTCTGCCAGGCAGCATCTCTAACCAGGAAAAGGGTCTCAAGACACCATGAAGACTCCTTTTAAACTTCAGAGAAGCTTCTGTTCCTGACATCATGGGAACAAAGACAAGCTCCTGGTGGTTTGCTGGCGTTTCCCCTGGGGAGATGGAAACAAGCGTCTTTCTGCCCACCCTAGATGGGGTTCCAGCGGCAGACCAGAGTCACTGCTCCACCCACGTCTGCTGCGGTGGAGCAGTGTGCACAGGCTAACTCACAGGAGCGTGGGTGGAGGAGCGAGGAAGAGTGGGATTTAGATGGTAAAAGCGCTGGAGAGACGGCCCAAGAGTGAGGGGAGATGGCCCAGCAGTGAGGGGCAGGGGCTGCTCTTGCAGAGGACCCGGGTTTAGTCCTCAGCACTCCCACGGTGGCTCACAACCATCTGTAATTCCGGTTTCAGGGCATCCAGTGACCTGACCTTTGAGGTGGTATTGCTGTTTTCAGGCTCTTTTTCCATGAATTGTTTTCATACACTAGCATTGTCCAGTAGCTTTTCTGGCAATCAGAAGTGTTTCTTTTCCTGAGGGAGTTTCTGGTGTTGAATTTGGGCTACCACACACCTAGCAAGCTCTGTAGGAGTCAGATTCCCTTCTCAGGATGCCCAGAGTTCAGTTCTGCTTTGCGTTTTGTTTCAGAAGCCAAGGGTCTGGGTGCATGGAGCCAGGAAAACATAGCTACTGCTCTTGGTCACAGTTTTTTTTTTCTAGTTTTGACATAATGAAGTGGATCTACTCCCTGTACCCCTGGCAGGAGACTCATGGCTCCCATCCCCGCAGCGACCAGATGAGGCTTGTGGCTAATGTCAGCAGAGGCCACTGCCTGGAGGCCGGGAACTCTTGACAGCCTGTTTCCCGGGGTCTTTCTGCTTTTCCCTGGAGCCACTGCTAGCGCAAACTGTTGTGTTGAGCCAACTGCCGGTTTATTTTAAAATCCCCACCTGACCGTCACATTTTCTTTTCTATTTTCCTTTGTTTAGTATACAATTTTTAAGTTTTACTTTTCAGAAAGTGTTGCTGGAGCCGAGCAGGAGGATCATGAGCTTGAGCCAGTCTGGCTGTGCAGTGGAGCCTTGTCTCTACCGACACCAAGCACACGCTTAAAAACAAGGGATACAGCTGATGGCACTGCCAGTCACAGCCCATAATGCCTTCTCCGTGCCCAGCTCCTCCAGCCAGCTCTGCATCTGCAGGGTGCTTGTCCTGTTCCTTAGCAGCTGTCCTCCGTGGAGATAAGTCAGGATCTCTGTGCTGGTGTGGGGAACAGTTAGGGAGGAAGTGAGGTCAGAGGCTACCAGCAGCAGCCCAACCAGATGATGACTTCCATAGCTGGGCCATTCTTGGACTTTGGGTTCTCTGAGCTGTTGGTTGATTTCTGGGCAAATGAACAGTCTTAATAATCTAAAACAAGGAGCTGGGCAAAGCATAATCCTCTTTAGATAAATTTCCTCCTTATAAGACCGATGCCCGTTGAGGTCTAAAGATGGGGAGCTGGCAAGATAGCTTGGGGTCCCTTCCAGATGCTCCACACTGAGAAGCAAGGCCTCGGAGGAATTTTATTTCCTTTTACTTTTTACTGATTGCCACTTAGACTCCAAGGGGCACAAGCAGGGCTGTGTCTCTGTTAGAGAGGGTGGGTGAACAGGGGTGGGTGCTCCGGATGCCACTGCAGAACGTTGCTTTTCATCTGCTGACTTGTTTCTTGTGTAAGACAATCCGATGAGATTGTCTAAACGGAACTGTATCTCAGTCCACTAATAGGATAATGGTGCGACCTCGAATCTTCCCATTGTTTGTTTATCCTTTGTAGATTGTGTCCCAAGTCCTAACTCATCTACAGCACGTGACAGCATCCAACCAGTGCTGTTTCTACTTGCCTGAGCATCTGCCAGTGTTGACCGTGGTGGCCACAGTGAGGTCCAGGCCGCTTGTCCTCCAATCCTGGGCCACTCTACATCAGCTAATGTGTGCTCTGGCTGAGGGCTGCTAATGGTTAGGTCTTCTGGTTACATGCTGCTCAAGTCTAGCACTGTGCTGTGGCCTGTGTCCTTTTCACCTTACCCCACTCCTGTGTCCCCCATCACTCCCAATTCTGTGTCCCCCATCACCCCCACTCCTGTGTCCCCCATCGCCCCCACTCCTGTGTCCCCCATCGCCCCCACTCCTGTGTCCCCCACTTTCCCGAACTCCTGTGTCCCCCACTCTCCGCCAGAGTCACTGTTTTGAAATCTTGCAGTATGAAATTCATTTCGTTCTCCTCCACCTGTCTTTTTTCCTGTCAGAAACAGTGTAACTCATCTTAAGCTGTCTGGTTGTTTGTTTGTTTGTTTCCTTACCATCTTCTAATTCCTTTTTGCCCTTGAAGATTGGCAACTTCTGAGTGTGGTCAGTCGTTCACACTCTCCCCACAGGCTTTGTTCTTTGATGGTTCTAATATCTGAGGGTGTTGAACCTCTTTCCAAGTCCCCAGACAATGGTGGGTCTGCAGAACATCTTTGGGGAGGGGCTGTGCATCTGTGGGATTCAGAGGCAACACGCTGTGCCTGATGGTGAGCTCATGTCATAGTCTGAGGTGCTGAGGGTGCTGGAGGAGAAGGAATGGTCCTCAGTTGCAAGTGTCAGGAAGGGTGCACTGTAGCTGTGTCCTTTAGACCACAATCGTCCATCAGTGTCTAACAGCAGGCAGCACAGAGGTGGCGGCCTTAAGGCTTCAAGGCCCGGGCACTGGCTATCACTCAGGCGGCAGCACAGCTGGGTGCTGGTGGGCAGAGACTGGAGCTGATGGAGGATGCTGTGCACCAGGCACGTTGCTCATTACTGCTCAGTCTAACGTTCTGCGGAAGACACTGGAATAAGTTTTGCTTTTCTACAAAGTACCAAGAATAGCACATGGTATCAGTTTATAATAAGAAACATTTTTAAAAGAGTAAAGCAAGATAAGGCAGGAACGCTTGGATGGACCACACCAGTGTGGGCCATCTAGCTCCTGGCCTGCTTGCTCTTGATAGGTCAGAGGCCACTAATTGAAGAGTCCCTAAAACTAAGAAAAGGCCCTTTGGGATCTGACTTTCCTGCTGGAAACAGGCGGGTGGCAGAGTCACCATGAGTGCTTTTCTCTTTGCAGCACGCACTCCTGGCTCTCAAGTTCATACTTGCCTTTGCCATCCCTGATAAGCCGCGGCACATCCAGGTGAAACTGGCCAGGCTGGAATTCGAGTCTTTGGAGGCGCTCAAGCAGCAGGTAAGAGCCACATGTCTGGAAGCACTACAGGGCTAACCCTTCCAGTGCAGGGGTCCGTTAGCGTTGAATGCCAGTTAAGTATGGAAGACAGCTCTGCAATTAAAAACGAGGAAGCCAAGAAGTTTGCAGGCAAATGGTGGGAGCTAGAATAGATCATCCTGAGTGAGGTATCCCAGAAACAAAGACACACATGGCATATGCTCACTTACAAGTGGATATTAGACATATAATATAGGATAATCATCCTAAAGTCTATACACTTAAAGAAGCTAAGCAAGAAGGAGGACCCTGGTAAGATACTCAATCCTCATTAAAAAAGGCAAACGAGATGGACACTGGAAGAGGGAAAAAACAGGGAATAGGATAGGAGCCTGCCACAGAGGGCCTCTGAAAGACTCTACCCAGAAGGGTATCAAAGCAGATGCTAAGACTCATAAACTTTGAGCAGCGGCAGGGAATCTTATGAAAGAAGGGGGAGATAGCAAGATAGACCTGGAGGGACAGGAGCTCCACAAGGAGAGGAAAAAAAAATCTGGGCACAGGGGTCTTTTCTGAACTGATACTCCAACCAAGGACCATGCATGGAGATAACCTAGAACCCCGGCACAGATGTAGCAAATGGCAGCTCAGTGTCCAAGTGGGTTCCCTAGTAAGGGGAAGAGGGACTGCCTCTGACATGAACTCAGTGGCTGGCTCTCTGATCACCTCCCCCTGAGGGGGAGCAGCCTTACCAGACCACAGAGGAAGACAATGTAGCCAGTCCTGATAAGACCTGATAGACTGGGGTCAGATGGAAGGGGGAGGAGGACCTTCCCTATCAGTGGACTGGGGAGGGGCATGGGAGGAGATGAGGGAGGGAGAGTGGAATTGGGAGAGGACAAGGGAGGGGGCTACAGCTGGGATAAAAAGTGAATAAATTTAAAAATTTAAAAAAAATACAGAAGACTCCAGTGGAGGATGAGACAGGCCAACCCAGATCTGTGATGTCATCAAGGGCAAGGCTGAGCAATGGGAAATGATGGATAGCGCCAAAGAGCAACACAGGTTCACTCCAGAGCCGCTGCCACTGTCTCTAGTCAGGCCCTGTATAGAAGTGCTATCCAGAAGCCAATGAATAGGATCCTGAAGAGTGTCTTATGGGCTGAGAGCCTGGAAACCTGTGGGCAGAGCCTCAAAGAATGCCATGAAGATTTTTTTCCCTTGGTCTACCAGATGAAAGAGAAAGAGTGGGGAGGGGAGGAGAGCTAACCCTGGGTGGGGTTCCCCACTGGTAACTTTCTGCCTGCGGGGAGAACAAAAGGACAGTGAGTCCCTAGATGCTCATAGTGGTCACCTCTGTCAGACGTCTGTGTTAGCAACAAAGCAATGGACTGGGCAGTGTATTCTCTGGGACCAACGTTAGGTCCAGCACCTCTTGGACCACACAGCATTTCGGGAACTGGAGGGGGAAAGTGAGAAGGACCCACCACATCTGACCCTGTGAGGAATCTCAGGGCAATGTTACAAATGGGGACCCCCATAGAGGAGCGCTGTGACCAGATGTGGGTTCAACCTAGAAGAGGAGACAGGAGAACCTGGTCCCAGCCAGATGGGCTTGTGGCTCATGCTAAGTGACAAGATCCAGTTTCTGGGTTTGCTCATGAGATGAGTCTGGCATGTTCTTAGGTTAAACTGAGCCCTGTTCAAGGTCCCGATGCCCCGTGGTGAAGCAGCCTGCACCGTGACGGTTAGCTTTATTCTAGAGAACTAAGGGTCATGTCCTGGGAGAGGCAGATGTATCACGGCGGAGACATAGAGGGTGGCATGTTTAAAGCCTGTGAGTGGGTATCTGTGCGTTTATGCCTTCCTGGACGGTGCAGCAAGTTCTTGGGCAGCTAAGGCTACAGCGTGGTGAAATCCTGTCTCAAAAAAAAAAAAAAAAGTAAGGATGAAGGATATAACTTTCACATAATATCATTTGTTTTCTTTCATAAGAAATAATAAGTTTTAAATATTATTGAATGTTTTCATTTACAGAAAAATTAGCATATGAAGTCTTTAGCTGGTAACTTACTAAAATAATAGGGCTAATCTACATGAAGAGTATCTTAAAGTCTCCTGGCATCAGAAAAGTCACCTTTCGCTGGGGAAGGGCTTAGTAGTCAGAGCCGAGAACCAGAGTCCAGCCCCTGAGCCCACATGGGGGCCGGCTGAGGTCCCAGCCTCAGAAGGCCGAGAAGGTCCAGAGAGCGAGGTGGAACGAGGACGTGGGGGCTGGCCCATGAACAGGGTAGAGGATGGTTCCCCGCATCAACTCTGAGCCTCTGTGTGTAGTCACGCGCATGTGCGCAAACACCCACACACCTGCTCCCACACTTGCATACACACACACACACACACTGAAAATAGAAAAAGAAAAAGGTATTCAGTTGACTGTGCCCTCCACACCTCAGCTGGCAGGTGCCGGGCCCGGAGCTTGTGCTCTCTGCCTCTTCAGCCCCGTGTTCCAGCATCTATGTGCCTAGTGACTAAATGTGGCCTCATCCCCCTGCTCGGCCACACACACAAAGGCTTCTAGTTTCTGGGCCAGAGTTAAAATGGAGCCATGGAGCGCGTGTCTAAGAGCTTACTCACCGCCGGCTGCCCCGGGCTCCCCTGTGCAGCGTTGGGACCTGGTAGTCTCTAACAGAAAGTTCTACCTCTGGGTGGCAGTTGTATCGTGTCTACCTCAACCCAGTTCCACACGTGTGCCGGCCTGCCTTCCTGAGTGTAGGAAGGCAGCCCAGGACTTGCTGCAAACCCCCTCCTCCTACCCCGCCCTCTCCCTCCCAGTTCCCACCCACAGCTAAGGGTTGAGTGTGTTGATGTGTTCTGCCTGTCGGGAGCGGTTTGCACTCAGTTGGGGTTGGTCCTTTAACCTGCATGCCGAATGGCTAACTTGGAGACATGGCCCAGTTGGCACTCAGTGCCCTCTGCCTCTGCTGCATCCCAGGGGTGAAGCGCTGCTGGGGACACGGAAGGGGAAGTGCTGGAAGCTCTGTCCTTCACGGCAGGAGCAGATTCCTAAACACACAGGAAACCATCCTTGTCTACAGTGAGAGCAAGCAGGGTGGGCTCGTTTGCTTTGCAAACAACATTTGAAATGACTCGGTTGAGGAAGAACTTGGGCAGACAAGCCGCCACCACCCGATGCTTCTTTACAAATCGGCTTATTTGGTATGTAGTCACCTTAAGATCCAGTTAAAGGCAGAAAGGAGTATTAGCTGAGAACCGTTTGGTAACAGGAGTCTAGCACACACCCAGGGCAGTCTGTAGACGCTTAGCTACTGCGGTAGCCAGGCCTCTCGGGGTCCACAGTATACGTGTGAGCCGGTGTGTGGGGACAGAGCCTCTCGGAAAGATGGCAGCTCCTGAAATCAGCTCAGAGAACAAGACAGGGCCCAGATCAGTACGGGACCATTAGCCAGAGGGCTGGTGTTCAGCCCTCGCCCTTGCTGCCTGTCTAGCAGGCATAGAGCTGGGGCAGAGAGCTTGCCTCGCCTGCCTGGGGCTCTGGGTTCCTTCCCCAGCTCAGGATGTGTGAACATTGGCATGGTTTACTGGTGTTAATACGTTTTAATAATCTCCTTTCCCCATGTCTGTGTCCAAGCATCTGGGGAAACAGCATTTTTAACGGATCATGTACTATTTCACAGCAGAGAATGCAGGTGAGAACACACTTGACTCTTACCGCAGCACAGTGAGGTGGCCTGCCATGCCCGGAAGGAAGTGTCTGAAGCAGGGTATGTGGCCTCTGTGCTGCCTGTCCTGTCATTCTGGAAGTCTAGGACTTGTAAAGCTTAAAGCCTCTTAATTGGAAGAGTTTTGTTTTGAGCCAATAAAGAAATAGCAGTTGTGAGAGCTGGGAACTCAAAGTGACAGGTCCCTGGGCAGGGAAGGTCCAGTTGCCAGGACCTAAGGTTCAGCAGGTGAGGCCGGCTCCTCCTGGATGGCAGAGCTCGGGAGCTCTGGGCCAGCCCACACCTCCTCCTGATTGCACAGCTGTCTTCACAGCCATTGACGCTGTCGGACAGGTGCCTGTAACATTACATTTTCCTCCTCATTCCTGGGGTCTGGGAGATGCTGCCTGCCACACAGGCCAAAGGTCATGATGAGGACGTGAGGAGGCAGTGTGAGCAGAGCACAGGGGTGCCGAGTGGGAACAAGGGCCTCCTCGTGTGTGGCGCAGCTCGGGGCTGTAGAGCACAGTGGCACCTGCAGTGGCGTCTCAGAGGCTCTGCTGCTCTGGTAAAACACCGGACAGTAAACTTGGGAGAAAGTGTTTATTTCCCGTTACAACGCCCAGGTCACACTCCATTGCTGAGAGAAGTCAGGATCCTGGGGGCGGGCGCTGATTCAGAGGCCGTGGACAGCTGTCGCTTACTGGCTGGCCTCTAGCGGCTGGCCCTGTCGGCTTTCTGTAGCACGAGGCCCAACAGCGCAAAGCTGGCCCACACACACTGGGCTGGACCCTCCCACAGTAATCATCAACCCATAAACTACCCCAGCTGAGGTCCCCTCTTCTCGATGACTGCAGCTTTATCAGACTGACAGACAAGCAAATAGGATTGTACCTTGGAAGCCGCCCCACCTGTCCCGTGCTCCTCCACGTTGGAAACGCTAGGTGTTGGCTGTGGCGGCTGGTCTGTACTGGGAGTGTAAGCTGCACACTGAGGAAAGCCCTCACACAGCGGAGGCCCTGAGTGGGGCGTGGGAGACGCCGTCGGCGAGTCCTCCCTCTGCCACATCGGCCAGCTGGGAGTTAGTCCCAGGTCTCCCTCCCCGGCTCCCTCGGTGCTGCCACCAGCTGCTCTTGCAGGGGGCTGGGCTGGTGAGGGCGCAGTGGAGAGCGCCGGCTGTGCACCTGAGCTGTACCCGGCACCCACCAGCCCCTGTCCCCGGCTGCGGGGTGCGGAGACTGCAGGGCCGAGGTGTCCTGGCTTTCGCCCTAGCCCGAGTCTGTGGGAGAAGCGGCAGGCCAG